CCGTAAACTCTCAATGAAAAGTTGGTTCAAAGTTCCTAAGCTTTTTTTTAACTCAATGCACCTTACACAACTCCCACTCAAAACCTAAAACTTCTGGGCTTCTTGAAACAAACGAAATCAACGAGCTAAATATTATAAAACTCTTTCTTGAGCTTGCCCTGATGACATCAGTAACCGAAGATATAAAAAAACATCAATGAAGCCATGGACATTTGATCTGGAATAGTGACCCAACTCGCACCTAGAAGTCACAGGCAACTTCTTACCATTAAGTCAACATGCGCTTCAATTGCTATGGATTATTGGGTCTCATTCCTTTACTCTTTGTGTCGATTTACGCGACTGCCCCACCGCTTCAAATAGTGCCAACCACTTCATGCGTCGGCGTCGAGAGAACCATACTCGAAGTAAGTGACCTAGATAGAGCTTCCAATCCTAGGTGTTCATCCTTGGGCTTGCCACGCAGTTATTTCCTTTGATTGACTTAATTTTCGGACGCAATGAATCCCTCCGTCATCTCTGCTCGAAAAGCCACCGCACAGCCCAGGTGCTTTGTCATTTCAAGAAAATCACGAAACAGATCTGGGGGCAGTCATCCACAAGAAAGCAAACCTAGTTCTGGACAATTTGATTAGTGAGGCTCAAAAGACGCCCCCGTCCGTAGAAATTGGTTTTCTTGCCCAGGCTATCGATCATCACGGGGGGTTCACTACCCAACGCAAGCAAATAAGGAGTACGTGCGAATAACTGCTTGATTTATGTTGCGCAGTGTATAAATCTAACGATGAATCCCATTGAAAAAAAAAATCTAGATCATGCTGCTTTTGAGATGATAGGAAAGGCTTTGAACTTTAGGGCTCTCTACCAGGTTGCTGGCAAATCCGAGCAAGATTACATGGACCGGATCATAGACACCCCACCAGCCAAAATCCGTGAGACCATTTCGAAGATTGACCGGCTTTTCGCCGCCAGTTTCTCAGCAGGAACTCTGGACGATGTTGCCAGGGAGAAGATCCTACAAAAAACCCAAAGGTTTCGCAATAAGTTTGAAACTATTTTTGATGCGTTTTACTCCGAGGAGATTGAGAAAATGATTCTGGAGGAAAAAGATTCGAAATGGATGGAACCGTCTGTTACAATTCAAAACTTCCACCAGAAACTTATCGCGATTGAGGAGTGGAACCAGAAAGTTTTGATCTCAAAGCTGCATGCAAAACTAGACCGGGCGCTGGAGCCTTACTATCAACCGGAAAGATACGAACAACCACTCAAAAAGTGGAATCAGAATCAACAGTCAATTGACGAGTGGAATCAGAAGACTTTAATCTCAAGCTTGTATCCAAAACTCGACACGCTATTTCGGGCGATTGCTTCCCACCGGAACTATCGCATAGAACCATATCGCCCACCTTCTGAGGAGTGGAGCCCAGAGACCTTAATTTTAAAATTGCCTACAACACTTCACATATATATTCGACAAGGTTCCTCCTATGCAAGTTATCAGCCAGATAATTATTACCCATTGATGAATAATTGGGACCGGATGGCTTTAATATTGAAGCTTCAAAAGAAAATTCAAAGTCTGCTGGATGAACTCTCTTTCTTTCCAAAGCCAGAGTACCAAAAAAAGATTGTCCGCTTCCAGCGACGGCGTCCGGGTTGCTTTGGCTGGTAACTTTCATGTTCTATCCAACCATTTAAAGCCTCATTGTGTCCAACAGTATGTCACATGATCTGTAGCAAAGTGGAATATGAAATCTGCTACTCTCTATTGTTCTTCATTTTCATTTTCACTTTATTTACTTGTCTGGTCTCCCATTCTCCATACATCCCAATTAGCAGTATGACAGAATTTATCTTTATGTCTTTAGTATTCATGGAGGGGAGGGTCCCGTCAACCGTCCCAGGATTTCTGATTGTCTTCTTCTTGTTTCTATCTTGGCATAGGGAAAAGTTTGCAAATTGGTTGTTTGCAGGGAATTCCTGAGGAAAGGTTGGAGAGAAATTGGAGCTTCATATCCTCGAGTGACAAAAAACAAGCGGTAGCACTATTGAGTTGTACACGGTACCTCCCGGGAGTAGGAAGTTGGCTTCCGTAAATTGGGAGCTTCTGTCACTGATCAACACTTGGGGTAAACAAACAGGTGAGGGCTGAAATCACTTCCCAGTGCTAACTTGCAATGAGCTGAATCTTGGATGAAACTGGTAAAATATTTATCTCTACCTACCTGTTTCACAACCGGTGGGGCCAGGGCCCAATTGGAGCCAAAACCTGTCTTGCTTAAATTCTCAAGCGCACCTTAATTAGGCATTGAACCTTTCGCGAACAAGCAGGATGAATGCATAAGCACTTCTTTTTGCTTTAAAAAAACCCTCACAGAAACACAAACACTGATCATAAATTATCTCAAGAAGTGGTCATTTGCACCTTGTCACCCGCTGGTGACTCAATCACAATGCGCTTCAATTTACTTTCATTTTCCGTTTTACGTCTTTTAGCGGCTTCTGTTCTCCTTCCAGGGGTGCTTGCAGGCATCACCGTCGAGGAAACTGCACTCAAAGTAAGTCCTCTGCATAGACGGTGCAATCCCATTCAATTCGGCACAGTTAACAGCATTCACCAATTTGCGAGCTCTATGAACTTCTCCGTTGTCTCTTATCAAAAAGCTACCACACAGCCCAGACGCTCCATCATCTCAAGAAATTCACGCAAATGATCTAGGCAAAATCATACACCAAACAGTAAACCGAGTTCTTGATGACCTGATAATTTGTTCTCAAAAAGAGGATACGGGAATCGGGGCGGGACCTCTTCCCTGGGATCCCCCTTATTTTTGTATTGGTAGATTCACCCCCCAACGCGAGCTAATAGGAAGTAGGCATAACAACTTTTTCATTCATATTGGTCGACACATAGACAAATATTGATTTCAATCCAAAAACATAGAACATCCTGCATTTGAAGTCATAGGGAAGACTTTTGGCTACAGAGCTCTGTACTTGACCTTGGCTGACAAATCGGAGCGAGATCATATGGACCGGATCTTGGACAGTCAACCAGAGGAAATCTGGAATACCATTTCAAAGATTGATCAGCTTTGCACCAACATCTTCCAACCAGCGACGAGAACCGTTACTGGCGAGATGATCCTCAAAAACACGGAAATTTTTCAGAACCAATTTGTGAACATCTTTAATGCTCTCTACTCCGAAGAAATTGAGAGAATGATTCCGGAAGACAAAGAATCAACATTGATGACACCGTCTGCTGCAATCCAAAACTTCCACCAGAAAGTGATCGCGATTGAGGAGTGGAACCAGAAAGCTTCGATTTTGAAGCTGCATACAAAATTGGACCAAGCACTTGAAGATCACTATGACAAGATAGCAAGATGTAAATCACCCATCAAGCGATGGGATCCAAACGAACAACTGATTGAAGAATGGAATCCGAAGGACTTGATCTCAAGCTTGTATCCAAAGCTTGACACACTATTTCTACTAATTGCTCACTACTACCACCCACAGCTCTACCTGAGACCATATCACCCGCCATCTGAGGATTGGAACCAAGAGAAATTGATTCTCAACTTGCCCACTAAGCTTGAGTTATTTCCTCAAGGACTTTCTTCCTACTTAGAGTATCGCCACGATACCTATTCCCTGTTGAAGAAAAATTGGGACCAGAGGGCTTTAATTTTAGAATTCCACCATAAACTTGACAAACTGCTTTGCTTTCTTCCTCGTCGCGCACATTCAGAGTCTAGCACAGAACATGATAAGAAAAGGCTTTCCGGTGGCTTGCAATGTTTTGATTGGTTGTTTCGGTTTTTTTGATTGACCACGTTCTGATTGGTTATCCTTTTTTGCCAAAATCAATATCAACGGTCTTCTCAATTCTATAAACAAGCAAGCTGCTGCGTGGCAATAATCGGTCACGTGTTCCCATCTCTCCAAAATCATCAATCCTGAGTCTTTTGATGTCCGTGTAGTCCAAGCAAGTTTTACTGCAATGAGAGAATTTGATGGTTTTGGTGGCAGGACAAATTTACACATTGGTTCAGACTTAATGTTCATAAGCTTCTCCATATTAATTGTGTTGGCGCAAAAAGGAAGCTTTGAAAACTGGCCTCCCTCTTGTATATTCCTGAGTTCAAGTCCAAAAAAACTCTGCGTTTTCATGGTTCTGAATCCAAATGGAAAAAGAAGACACGTGCCTCTGAAGTTGTGAGTTGTAACCCCTGGAATTAGGAAGTTTGCTCCCAGAGAATACAATACTTTGATAAGGACTTGACACGGGTAAAAGAGAGTCAGAGTCACTCTCAAGTACCCAATACCTATAATCTCTGGAGATGAGAGTCGACTCAGTGACGGCATGGATGCATTGCCTGAATAAAAACAAGAATTACTCTGTACATGGGACTGGGGAGACCACCTTGACTTGCCGTCGGACACCTCCCGTGTGAGAACCAGTAAGTTTGCTAACTTAACTAAGTCCCTCTTAATCCGGAGGGGGGACACCGTCCCGCAGGGACCCTCCGAAGGAGGGACTTATGCGCTAAGTCACCCTCCTCGCCCATGAGGATTAGGAAAAAGTGGCTTTTTTTTTAAAGCCATCTACAAGTTCCCTCACACATTCAACCCCCTGCAAGTTGCCCACCAAAAGGAGCGGCAGATGTGGGAGAATGCGAGAGATCCCATCATGAGGTCGGGGGGCAGCGGTTTATTCTTTGATCACCATATATATGATTGGCTGCAATCTTATGGATTTTGGGTCATCTGTATGGACCACCAGCCGCATAGAATACAGGTGTTTGGACATCACCTGTGTTGAAATTCTGTAATCCACAGTGTTCTAAATATCAGCACATCAGGCATGGACTTGGTAGCCTAGTTGGTAAAGGCAGCACTTCTAGTATAGTGTCTTAGCTTCAAGCTAAGGTCGCTGGTTCAAATCCTGCCCAAGTCAATCATTTTATGCTAACTGTCTGCAAAATGCATTGTTAATTTTAACAACCTGTCTGAGCCATAATAGCAGGCCTCTTATGTATACCAGGCCATGGGTTACTGAGAATGAAGCCCGATTGCAGTTATGTACAGCCATTTCGATAAAGCTTGCGGTTCGCAAGCCTGGATTTTTTTTTTTTTTTTTTTTTTTTTTTTTTTTTTTTTTTTAAAGGTGGGCGATACAGCCGACGATATCGGCTGTATGCCTTCCAAATCTTCCTTTTCTTCCACATCCTTCCCCTCTCTCCTCTCCGGTCCGCGTCACCCATGAAATGCCTCCCCCAGCTAACCTCCAGCCAACCACAACCCCCGATCGGCACCGTCATCATCCATCCAATTTCGAAATTGAGTTCATTCCTATCAATCTTATCTTCGACACCCTCAAGAACCGCCTGTCGAAACAAAACTGCTTAATCTTTGTGAGTCCTTTGTGAGTCTTCGGCCATGTAATTCCCTCCGTTGCCTAACCCACCACGTTCTGACCAAGTGTTTGCCATTCAAACACCTCAGGCTATGCAACCGTCAACTGAAAACATCGGAATGGGCAAGTACGAGTACGAGGAGTCGTACATTGCACCAAGTCAAATGGCTCAAAGCGACGGGGCGTCGTGTCGGGTTTTTTTTGAGCCCTCTCAAGACAATGCGGGTTACATCCATTCGTATTCAAACGTCATGCATCCAGCGCCACCGGGCTTGCATGCGGCCAATCACCAGGGCTCTATCGGTCACGTCGCGGTGGGTCATCAGCTGGCTTTTCCAGGTCAAGATCCTCGTCTTCAAGGACCAATGGCGTTTACCTCAAGCTCGCTCGGCCAACTCACCGCAATGCCGAATCCTCATGTGACGCAGATTTCGACCGCAGGGGCTCAGGCGACCCTCACCTCTGACCAGACCGGCCACCTGATGTCGATGCCTGCAGGTAACGTGGGCCACATGGCGCCGGCTCATCCTCAAGTTACGGGCCAGGCTTTGGCGAGGAACCCCACTCGCGCCCATTTGGTTGCACCAAACCTGGGTTCAGGCGGCGAGGTGGCAGCGCGCCCAATCCTGATCAATTACATCGTCTTCATCCGATCGGCGCAGAATCAAGCCGTTGGGTCCAGCAAGGCGACTCCTTCGGTCAAAGAGTGGGACCGATTGGCTTCGACGGCCGAAACGGTCTTCAAAACGGACATTACGCGTTGGGACTGGCCCAGTTTGCAGGCAAGGATCCTCTCAATCCTCGAGGGTCCACATGACCCCATTGGCCTCGAGGGCCCCGGAAAGTTACTTCGGAAGCATTTCGACGCCCTCGCGGACTCCGGCCTGCTCAAGTGGCAGTGCGTCCTCAACTCGCATCGTACGTATGGCCACATAGGCCACTACTATGTCACTTGTGATGAACAGTGGAAGGTCTTTGTCAATGTGGCCTGCCACAAGGAAAATTTGGCGAAGAAAATCTTCATCAAGCTCCTGATGGATGATCCTCGCAAAACGGTCAAGGCCGCTGAATCTGTAAGTTTGCCTCTCGCTAGTCATCGTTGTAGTGGGCATGAGACTCATGGGCTGCTGAATCTGGACTACTAGGCGAAGAAGCAAAACAATAACCTTGTAGCCCAATATGGGACAAACCCGGAGCGCATTGCCATGGAACGACTAAATTCTTGTCTGGCCAAGAATGTGAGTGTTCAATCTGTCTCGGCGTTGCCTTGTAGACACACTGACCTCTGAACTGGCCACTCTTGTCGTGCTTTCAGACCAAGGCTGACACAGATGCTAAGGATCGGGTCCAGAAGGTCGCCGATCTATCAACCTACATTTGCAAGAAGTACGGTGCTAATTCAGAGTCCTTGAGGATCAAGGACCCCGACAACCCAGAGAGGTCGATCCGGCTCACATCAAACGGGCTGGGAATATGGGGCCGAGCGTTGTTTAAGAAAGCGGACGGGGTGGACTTTGACCGGCCTCCTCAGACGGACGACTTTGTATCAGAGCCTATAACTGTGTTCACTCGCGATGAGGAAGCCGCCCGGGTAGCTACTCCAAAGACCCCAAAGAACAAAGGCCCCGCCAAAGGAGCGATTCGCCGCTCAGCCTCGTTGATGGCCTCCGGAAACCACAAGCACGGGTCTCCGTCTGGGATCAGCCCAGCAGCACCACGGTTCACCGGCGTCCGCAAGACCCCGGATGGGCGGATCAGGCCGCCCAAGTTGATCGCATCCCCAACCTTATCGTTGGACCCCAACGATAAGGTCTCGTCCCCGAGCCTGGGTAGACCCGAGTCGATAAATCATCTACATGTCCTGGGGAAATGGGGCTCGGATGCCTCTTCAGTCTCCAAGGCCCCCGACCCAAGCGGGACCGACGAGTCGGAGAAAGTGACGGACGAGTCCGCAAAATCTGTTGACCGAGGGTGTTCGACGACCGAGTCAGACGCTGAGGCGGAGGCCGTGGACATTGATCCGTATGTCAGAGGACAGTCATCTGACAGTACCGATATCGAGCTGGTCTCCGGTGATCAGGGGGGTCCCGGGTCTCATCCTTCACCGGCTCGTAAGATACCTCGTGTGGCAAACACCAGCGCCAATCGCATTGCGCACACGATCAGTCGCCTGGAGTTCCATACTCCAGGCCCACATGATGCCTCTCCACAAGACTCCCCGGGAAACCTGGCCGCGGCGGCGACTCCCATTCACAATGGTGTCGCGCACACGATTGGTCGCCTGGAGTTGCATCCTCCTGCTCCACATGATGTCAATCCTGTGGAGCAGGAGCCGTCCGGAATCCAGGCCGCGCCGCCGATTCCGATTCAACAAGCCGTGGCTAGTCCAACCCCTGGCGAAAACGGTGGCCCTCCCGCTCATGAGGTGGCGGCCCTGGAGGCTGAGACGGACAGTCCCCCATTGAACGAGGCCGGTCGCACCCTGCGAATGGAGGACTTTCTAGCCCTGTGCAACTTTGACGCGAACGATATGGTGCCTCGGGTCCTCATTGACGTCACCCACATCCGACACTGGGACTTTTTCCGTGACACGACTGTAGTTGAGTTGCAAAGGATGGGCTTCCCTTTTCCAATTGCAAAGCAATTGATTAAGGGGGCCCGCGGTTTAGAGGCGACTCACACTCAGACTAATCCCCCCAACGCCGAACACGCTGACACGGCCCGCCCAATGATTTGATGCGGTTTCTTAGCCAAATCATCCATCTTTATTTTACCGATAGGCTTATTAATGTTTTTCATGTAAGATGAATGACATGCCCTGCGTAGTTGCGTACTCATTATGTTATACCAGCCTCATGCCAACTGTGATTCATCCCAGACTGACATTATTGTGTTGGTCGCTTGCCGTCTATTTAGTGTATTTAGCCCATAACAGTTTGATTCCCTAAGATTAAGTCAGAAGTAATCAACCACCGATGACTTAGCTGCCCAAATGACCGAGTCCAGCTGAAGAAAGAATCTCTACAACTCCTTTCATAGAAGCCCCTGATGGGTGCAGTGGGGGCTCTGTTGGATCACTTATCTATCCATGCATCGGTACCTCTGTTGGATCATTTATCCAATCCAAATTAGTGGGAACCCGACCCTTGACTCAGAACAAGTAACTCTGGGGTCTATCTGTTAACTTGGACAAGACACTTGATCATCGCGGGTAAGGTGTGTGATGCTTAAGTCTTTGTTATGTTAACAAGACACTTGATCATCGCGGGTAAGATGTGCGATGCTTAAGTCTTTGTTCTACAACCAAAAAAAATGATCAAGTATTCAGTCTAAGACTGTAAAGCACAATATTTCTAGACAATATCAATGATTACGTATTCGGTCCACGACAGTAAAGCACCATAATTCTAGACAATATCGAACCAAGCCTTATAATTCTAGACAACATGACCATACTGTGACTACCTTGACTAACTATTGTCCCTCGTAACCGCTCCCGAGGAATAACGATTGCATTAACTCAGGAGTTACCATGCGTTCCATGTGCTCCTCAATGCGGTCGGGATCGTCATCATTGCCAGTGAGCAGGCGGTTTCTCTTCAGCTGGGATTTGAGCACCGAGAACACCTTTTCAATGGGGTTCAGGTCTGGCGAATACGGAGGCAGATAAATCAGCATGTTGAGTTTAAACTCGGACATTAAGTATTAATTCTTTTAATGTTCATTTTTAATTCACGTCATCCGCGGGTCTCAACTTTCAGTTTTCAACTTCATCAATCATTCGTCATCCCCTTCTTTCCCCTTCCTTTGACAATCCGCCGATCTCTCAATCGAATCAAAAATCATCCCGAGGTCAACAAAATCTCATTTGCTGATCAATCAAATCGAAAGCCGATTTTTAATCTTCGTTTACTTCAAGCACTCAGGAGGAGCTAGAATCAGCTGCTGGGCAGGTAGTTGTTTTGACTTGTTCTTTCTCACTTGTAATCAAAATATTGACCGTTTTTATTATTCATTTTCTCTAGGCTGTATTCGCTAAAACATTCCTGTGTGTTAAGAGTTGACGTTGGTATAAATCGTGTTAAGATTTTGTTATATTCTGATTTCATTTATCAGGTATTTATTAAATGTTATATTTCATTTATTGTCATTTGAGTGTTCATTCTAACATTGTTTTTTATTCTTTAAGACTATTACTTCTATTGAGTTTTTTATTAATACTGTTTCAAGAAAGCAATTGATTCTACCATTTTTACATGGTAGCGAGAGTCATTGCTTGACAGTAGAAAACTCAAAGTAAGAATAGTCTATAGATTAAAATCAAGCGAACGAGATGGCCGATTCTTCGGTGATTAAAAACGATTCATCGAGCGACGACGATCATCATGAGAAGGTTACGCTTTTGAAACTTCATCGGGACAATTGGACCGAATGGAAGAAGTTCTTTACCAATCTCCTTGTAGGCCGTGGTCATGAAGAGATATTTGATAAAGAATGGTGCAAGACTCATGCCAAAGAAAAAATTTTTCGCAAGAAGTCCGCTCTCGCATTCACTCTACTCCAATCGTGTCTTTCTTCCGACTTGAAGCCTGTCGCCGCTGGTGCCGATTCATTCTCTGAAGCCATGGAAAGTTTGGCTGAAACTTGCGGAGAACAATCGCTTATCAAACTCGGAGACAAATTATTCGCTCTAGTTTCATGCGATTACGTTCCCGGTACCTCGATCGGAGCTCATGTTTCTAAATTCCAAAATCTTTACAACTCTTTGAAATCAGCTGTTGCTGCAACCAACATTACCACCGACTCCAATGATAAAATGAAAAACGACATGAACGTCGGAACGACTATGGCCGGTATCTTTTTCCTCAAAAGTTTTCGGCTCGACGATTCATTGGCATCGCTGATTCAAAATTTATACGATATCCAACCGTTTACATTCGAACGACTGGCTGCTCGCATGAATGTTGAAGATACACGAACGGAGAAAGGTTCAGGTTCATTGAATACGATCTCGTCCTCCAATTCAAAGAATTTTGTTCGACCGAACAAAGATAAATTCAAAGCTCAATCACACGGTTCAAAGTTTCGAAACGTTGTTCCTACTAGAAATCAACCTCGACCGATATCTTCATCATCATCCAACAAAGCTGATATTCAAAAATTGATTAACGATCAAATTCAAGCCTTGAAAAAATTACAAGCTCAAGATTTGAATACGATTGATGAATCAGAATCCGAAGATCAGGAAGAACACGCAGGAGCCGTTGTTGATGATCCTAATGATCCTTATGAAACTGATTTCTTCATTGAGGATGAAGAAAACTATCACATTGGATCAAATCCTATGGACAACATTCGGTGTATTCTTGATTCCGGCGCTTCTAAATCAACGGTTTCGGATTCTCGTCTTCTTTTTAATTTGAAACCGATTACAAAGAAGATGAAAACCTATTCTGGATCAATCGATATTACTCATGTTGGTACAATGAAATTTGGTATTTACGATATCTTTCCCGTCAACTACGCTCCTGCCGGAAAATGTAATCTAATTTCAATGTCGCAGCTTGAAGATCACGGTTTTCGAATTCAACATAAAAACAAACTGGTCATTGTTTATATGGGATCGACAATAATTGAAAAATTTCCTCGAGTCGGTGATTTATACGTTTCATCTGGATCTAACTCCGATTCCAGCTTTCTTTTCTCTCTAACTGAAAAGGAATCTTTGAAGGACTGGCATATCATTCTTGATCATCCATCCGACATCTATGTTAATCGATTTCTCGAGTTAATGAAGATTCCTAAGAACAATCATATTGGTTCTTCTTCTCAATGCGAAGTGTGTCGAATGGCTAAAATCAAACGATCATCTCACTCCAACTCATTGCCATCTGCATCATCACCATTCAAGATGATTCACATGGACGTTCTACAGATCACACCTCTTTCTCGTGGGATTTTTCAATACATTCTGGTTCTCATCGACGATTTCTCACGTTTCAATCGTATTTATCTAATGCAAAAGAAAAGCGAATCTGAATCGAAGATACTATCATTCATCAACGAATTGATTAATCAGCTGTCGATAACTCCTGCTATTCTCCACACTGATCGAGGTGGTGAGTTTGGTTCTAATGTTTTCAAAAAATTTCTTTTCGACCATGGAATTTCTTTGGAACAAGGACCAGCTAACTCACCTCAATCTAATGGTCTAGCCGAACGATTCAATCAAACATTGTTGGTCAAAATACGTTGTATGCTTGCCCAATGTACGGTTCCGTTGAATTATTGGGATGAAGCTGCAAAATTTGCTTCAACGCTCATCAATATGCTTCCGTCGATTTCAATAAACTGGAAATCACCGATCTCAATTCTAGTCGAAACAAAATCAATGATTGAGCAAATTTGTCATGTCAACACTCTCATTCCGTTTGGTTTGAAAGTATTTGTTCATCATCAATCTCCGAAATCAAAGATTGCACCTCCGTCAAAACCTCTTCATTTTGTTGGCTATGAGCCTAGGTCGGATGCCATGCGGTTTTTTGATCCTTTATCTCGTCGAATTGTAATCAGTCGTGATTACTCGGTTTCATCATTCGTTTTTCCTTACAACTCTCCGAAGGCCATGATCAAGTTATCTTCAACTTTGCCCAGATCATGTGTTCTTAAAAAAGATGAATATATCTCTGTTCATATTCCTGAAGATAAATCACTATCAAAATCTTCCGGCTGTGTCACACCCCATTTTCAGCCATCATCTTCATCACCTCCATCCTTACCCGCGATTCAGTCATCTCCTTCTCTTGAATCAACAACGAGATCGATAACTCAGAATTCGGACCGTTCAATCTTGCCTCCTTCGACGAAACGTTTTACATATGAATGGACTCCTTCTACTCAGCTAGCCCCGAAGGATATCAATTCAAACATAATCGAAGGATCTAGAAGAAAGGATAAGCATCTTCCAGATCTAAATGTCATGATTGAATCGGAGTTTCCTGAACTTAATCTGAATGAATCCGTAACGATTAATGAAGCTATGAATGACAAAAATCATTTGACTGATTGGCATGATGCCATGTCTTCTGAATTCAACTCTCTTCAAGTAAAAAACACCGGTGTTCTAGCTCCGCCTCCTTCCGATGATAAAATCATAGGCGGAATGTGGTTACTTACTAGAAAGCTCAATGAATTTAAGGAAATTTGTCGTCATAAAGCTCTCTGGGTTGTTTTCGGTAATCATCAAGAACATATGTTACATTACTTTGAAACATATTCCTCAGTTGCCCGGAACGAATCGCTCAAAATGATGTTATCGCTAGCGGTCAACAATAACTATTCGGTATTTCAATTTGACGTCGAAACGGCATTTCTCTACGGTAACATTGATGCTTCAATTTACGTTTCGCAAGTGTTAGGATTTGAAGATCCCGATCCAGCGAAGAAAGGTTGGGTGTGGAAGTTGAAGAAATCTTTGTATGGTACAAAGCAAGCTCCGCGGATGTGGAAACAGCATTTGGTTGAAACTTTGAATCAAATTGGCTTCGTGGCTTCGATACTAGACGATGCGCTGTTTCACAACTCCGACAAATCAATTCTACTTCACATGCATGTGGACGATGGGCTCATTATTGGAAAATCTAGAAAATCCATTTTGAATTTTTTGAATAATCTCCAGAAGACTTATGTTTTGAAAATCAAAGAACGTCCGACTCAACATTTGGGCTATACTCTGGTCTGGAATTCCGACGGTTCTCTTTTTATTCACCAATCTGATTTTACGCATAAAATTCTGAATGACTTTGATATGTTGGACGCCAACCCGGTAAAAGCACCTTCACCTTTGAATTTTCATCGAGTTATGGCATTTGATTCCCCTCCATTCGATGTGAAAATGATGCAACGCGCCATAGGAATGTTAAATTATCTTGCTCTTCATTCTCGTCCAGATATAGCTTTCACGGTGAATATTCTTGCTCAGTTTGCTTCAAATCCTACTCAAGCACATTGGTCTATGGTTAAGCATTTGATGCGATATCTATGTGGATCAAAGAACGTTGGAATTGTGTTCACTAAGGGTCCTTCTGATTCTCTCTGCGGATGGGCTGATGCGGATTACGGTACTTCCCTCGTAACGAAAAATTCAATGTCGGTTTATGTGATAACTTTTCTCGGCAATCCGGTATCGTGGACCACAAAGAAGCAATCGGTTGTGGCGCAATCAACTACTGAAGCTGAATTCATTTCGATTAACAAATGTGCGAAGCAACTTCGATGGATGTCGAATTTGATTACGTCTCTTGGTATAGAAATCGGCATTCCAACAATTTTCAATGATAACTCAGGGGCAGTCGTTATTAGCAAGGAACCTCAATTGAATCCCAACACTAAGCATATAGAGATTCGTTTTCAGTACATTTGACAACTTATGATGAAGAAAGTTATGAAAATTATTCAAGTTTCGACTACGGAAATGATTGCTGATATTCTGACAAAGCCACTGGGTAAAATCAAGTTAGCTGAAGCGTACAAACAATTACATTTAGTTAATGTGCGTGTTTAGGAGGAGTGTTGAGTTTAAACTCGGACATTAAGTATTAATTCTTTTAATGTTCAGTTTTAATTCACGTCATCCGCGGGTCTCAACTTTCAGTTTTCAACTTCATCGATCATTCGTCATCCCCTTCTTTCCCCTTCCTTCGACAATCCGCCGATCTCTCAATCAAATCAAAAATCATCCCGAGGTCAACAAAATCTCATTCGCTGATCAATCAAATCGAAAGCCGATTTTTAATCTTCGTTTACTTCAAGCACTCAGGAGGAGCTAGAATCAGCTGCTGGGCAGGTAGTTGTTTTGACTTGTTCTTTCTCACTTGTAATCAAAATATTGACCGTTTTTATTATTCATTTTCTCTAGGCTGTATTTGCTAAAACATTCCTGTGTGTTAAGAGTTGACGTTGGTATAAATCGTGTTAAGATTTTGTTATATTCTGATTTCATTTATCAGGTATTTATTAAATGTTATATTTCATTTATTGTCATTTGAGTGTTCATTCTAACATTGTTTTTTATTCTTTAAGACTATTACTTCTATTGAGTTTTTTATTAATACTGTTTCAAGAAAGCAATTGATTCTACCATTTTTACACAGCAGGACTCCTGCGGCCTCGCAAATCTCCGCAATACGTCCATTATGGTGCGTCTGAGCGTTATCCATCACAATCACACTGTTGCGTCCCGGGAAAGGATTCATACGGGGCAGCTGAGGAGGATGCCGGGCCATCAGCCCGTTGGTCAAACAAGCCACAAGAAACAGGCTGCCTTGCACTCACCAGAACCTCGGCCAAGAAGAATTCTAAATCCCATCGGATAATTGACCCGGGTTGGCACATTATAGCCAACAACCCATCAAGACATACCGCGGGTAATACACTAAGACAAGCAGAAGGCAGAGGCCTCGGCAGCCGACGAGTCCGACACCCCCGCGGGGCCCAAGCTCGGTCGCGAGAGTGGGATCGAACGGACACCGCACACTCGTCTGGATGGAAGCAGGATTCATCAGACAAAAGATCAGGCAGAGTCCAACAACCAAGCACGGCAGACTCACCCAAGGATACCAGGTAATTCTCTGGAAACGGTCCAATCTGGACTATGTATTCGGCCCGCCTGATCGGACATTGGGCAGGATGCACCGTCCTGGCAACCTTTTTTGTCATTCCAAGTCGCCTCTTCAACTCGTCCGAGAGGGTCGATAAGGGGTGGCGGGTGCCCGTCAACGCCTCGATGTGAGATTGGATCTCGTCCACGTAGAGCGTCGGTTCTTCTTCAAGAGCCTCCAAGACAAACCGGCCCTCTTCGCGGGTTAGGGCCAAAGGACGACCTCGATCCAAGTACAGCGCCGGGTCGCGCACAACATCTCGAGTCTCTTGATAGAGCTGATTCCAACGGCGGAATGAATCAGGCGAAATGTTCAAGCCCAGCGCTTCGTTGATCTCAACTTGGGATAGTCCACGCAAGACCATTCGGACCACGATGAACTTGACGTCACGTTGGTATAGCACATAGACCATATTGACTGTAACAAACAAATCCTGCTGATGTGAATCAGCCATTCATTCAATGCGTAGCGCAGGGAGCGACTTCCGTGAGTGAATAGAGCTTACACAGGTGATCTTAGTCTAATCGGGTTGGATGACGGTAGTTTTGGATCGGATCGGGCTTCGATTGAGAGGAATTGACGTTGAACAAAATGTCGAAATTGGATGGATGATGACGGTGCCGATCGGGGGTTGTGGTTGGCTGGAGGTTAGCTGGGGGAGGCATTTCAGGGGTGACGCGGCCCGGAGAGGAGAGAGGGGAAGGATGTGGAAGAAAAGGAAGATTTGGAAGGCATACAGCCGATATCGTCGGCTGTTTCGCCCCCCTAAAAAAAAAAAAAAAAAAAAAAAAAAAAAAAAAAAAAAAAAAAAACCAGGCTCGCGAACCGCAAGCTTTATCGAAATGGCTGTATGTCCCCATACAATAGCCTTCGGCCAAGACAGGCTGAGACAGGCTACTTGCATGGAAGACGGTGGATGGTGGCGCAAAGTCATAACACATAATCCAGAGCCATCCAAAAGCGCATTGAAGGATAGAGAGCGAACAATGGGGGTAGGAGGGAAGCTGCAAGGATGAGCAGATGCGCCTCTCTGCCGCCTCCATGTTGGTCAAAACAACGGGACCAAATCTTCCAGAATGACGGAGTGGGGTGTGTTTTAAAATTTCGCCCAGCCAACTGCCTAATCCTCATGGGCGGCGGGGGGGACATAGCCCATAAGTCCCTCCTTCGGAGGGTCCCTGCGGGACGGCGTCCCCCCTCCGAATTAAGAGGGACTTAGTTAAGTTAGGTAAGTTTGCCACAATTACTTCACGCACAGATTACCTGTCCGTTAAGGAAAGATTGTACATACCCACTCGTGTAGGAAGGAGTTCTCATTGGCCAGCAGGGTCTGTACCCTTCCTGTCGTATTCCTCCTTGGGGACTGAGTGCGGTCTATTTTGGCCGACGTGTGCAGGCTATACCCGCTACCCAAGAAGAAATACTCCAGAGTACACAGGCTGTACCTCTCGGCCGAGGGTCATTCCTCCTACGCCAATGTTGGATCAAGGACGCGACCCGACGTGCTGGCCTAACTTAACTAAATCCATCCGGCAGTTTCATCCAATGGCTTGCCCGAGGCATTCGGAGGGTCCCTGAGGGACAGTGTCCCCTCTCCAAATCAAGAGGGACTTAGGTGCTGCCTTGCGCGGAGACATTCCGTCTGTTTGCAAAGTGATCCTCTAAAGTGATTCAAGTTCAAGCCCTATAGTCACTGGCACCTGCTTGCTCACTCAATCACCATGGTCTATAATTCTCATTGTGTGTTGGTTTTCTTTCTTTTATTATTTGTACAGCTCTCAGCGGCTCCCCCACCCCCACGAGGAGTGTCTGCAGACATCACTTTTGAGAAAACCGCGCTCGAATTAAGTCACCCAGACAGACGACACTGGACTCCTCCGCCATCTCTGTTCCAAAAGCTTCCTCGCCAACCAGAGGCTTCACCTTCTCAAGAAAGTAAAAAACCGGTAAATCTAGGAGCAATCATACACCAGAAATCAAACCTAGTCCTGGATCGTTTGATCATTGCTGGTGAAAGGAATCGGATTATCAAATCAGACACATCTGCTACCTGGGGTAACGTTTACAAATTTAGATTCACTGAGCAACGCGAGCAAATAGGAAGTAAGTGTAACTCATAACTGTTTGATTCAAATAAATACGCTGGTCACCGCACATGGCTCAACGATGAATCCACTACATGAAATCTAGAACATCCTGCTTTCGACATGTTTGGAAAGACTTTCAGCTTCAGGGTAGCTTACCGAGTAGCTAATAAATCCGAAAAAGATAGTATGGATCGGATCTTAGACATTGGCAATCAACCAGCCGAGATTCGCCAGACCATTTCGAAGATTGATCAGCTTTGTGATATCATATTCGATGGAGATGCTCAAGACCCCGCTATTGAGCACAAGATCCTTGAAGAAACCCAAAGTTTTCGCAACAGGTTCAATAACATCTTTGATGGTATCTACTCACAGGAGATTGAGAAAATGATTCCAGAAGAAACGAATCCAAAAAGCATGACTCCTTCTCTTACCATTCAAAAATTCCACCAGAAACTCGTTGCGATTGAGGAGTTGAACCAGAAGACATCAATCTTAAAGTTGCATACAAAACTTGACCAAGCCATTGGAATGTACTACATGTTAGTTGAACCTCATCAACCGATTAAAAAGTGGGATCAGATTGAACAACCGATTGAGCAGTGGGATCAAAAATCATTAATTTCAACCTTGTATCCAAAACTCGACACACTATTTCGAGAACTTGCTATCGAACAAGGATATTACCTGGAGCGATACCACCCACCGTCTGAAGAATGGGATCAAGAGACCCTGATTCTCAAGTTGCCTACAACACTTGCAGGACAAGCTTCCTACCTCAAGTACCTCCCAGATCATTATGACCCATCGGTCAAGAATTGGGACCAGAAGGCTTTAATATTAAAATTTCACAAGAAACTTGACAATTTACTTTCCCAACTTTCGCCATTCCCGCAGCCCAAAAAACATGGTCTGAAACTGTGTATTCCTTGTCTTAACTGGTTAATTTGATTTTTTCTTTGCCTTGAGGTCGAAGGCACGCTCTCGTTCATGGCGAGCAAGCTGCTACAGTACAAAGAAATGTCAAGTCAAACTGTCCCTCTGAAATCCTTTATTTTGATCTTTATTACAATGTCATGTATCCAGCTTCTGCATCCCAAGTGATTTTTCACCAATGTGAAGGCTTTACTGTTGCGCACATCCTTGCTTTTAACCATCGGAGAACTTATCACGGGGTTTAATATTTCCCTTCATTGTCTATCCCTCACTTAATACAAGTGTGAGGATTCACCAATAACTCCATTTTCTTAAGTGACTATGAATATCCCCAAGAGGAGATCTCGTCTATATTAAGAGTTATAAGGGTAACTTATCTTTAAGAAAGATAAGTTCATGAAATGGAGTTGAATGGAGATTTTGTTTTGTAAGAAAGGTTTTTATTTTAGTATTGGCTAAAGATAATGATGATAAAGATCAGAGATATATCAATAAAAAAGGAAAGAGAGGGTAGAAAGGAAAAAACATAGAAAGAAATAATATACAAAAGATTCATAGAAAAACAACTAATGAATTAGTAGTAAAGTTAACCAAAAAGGAGCAAAGCGTCCGAGTTGATTATATTGTTATACCAGACGTAAATAAGATTAAATCTATAAATATTCAGTAACCTTTATGTTAATTTCTTCGGTAACAAAATAAGAAGTTTAAACCACTACAACAAGTCCCTCGCTTCAGAGGGACCTGGTACAGGGCTGACGCGAAGCGTGACCTCTGAATGAGGAACTTGCAGGTTGTTATCCCTTGGACTTTGTGTGAGAGCTTTTGACATTTCGGTGGGGTTTTCCCGGTGTGAAGTTCATCATTTCCAGAGTACATTGAAGCTGAGATGCTCCCACTGGGGGTTATCCCCTGTCGCGCAGACGTTGAGGATTTAAACGAGAAGGCCGCCATCCTGAATATTCATGTGAAATTCAACGAAGTACTGGAAGAATTTAGTCGAAACCATAGTGTTGAGTGAAGTGACCCGGGTCGTTTGTGCTGGCTTCCTGAGCTTTTGTATTGCCTTTCGTTATGTTGAGGCTAATAGTACAGCAGAATGTATAACCGTAGGATCCAACTTATGGGCTGCCCTCGGATAAAAACTATAAAATATGGTCCGAGTACGATGAGAGGAAAAGGATATAAGGCTAGAGTAGGGGAAACAAAGGTGTATAGCTTTTTTGAAGGCGTGACTTCTGGTGAGCTATGATTGTCGTACCACTAACTCGACTGCCTTATCTGAACACGGATACCATCGGTAGCATGGACTTTGGCCGCCTGCAAATTGGCAATCATCAATCCGTCTCGGTGAAAACTTGGGAGGCGGTCATCATAATACTTGGCAGAATTTCCTCCAGTGTCCATTGCCATGAGTGGAGTGGAAACTACAAAACACGTCTAGATACTCCCAATCGAAGTTTCAAGTGCATATTCATACATTGAAGCTTCTTGAAACCATCTAAATAGTTTCCTCAAATGAGGGCCGCGAAGAACCAAAGTAGACGCAAGTCAAAAAACAAAACATAGAATGCGTAGTCATTGCAAATGGAGGTGACTCTGCCCCCCAATCCCCAAAAGTCAACGACACCGACCCACTTAAATCAGCATGCGGTCCGATTGTCGTGGGGTGTTTGCTTTATTTCCTTTATTATTTTTCTCACTTTTAGCGGCTCCCCCACCCCTACGAGCAGTGCCTGCCGACATCACCTATGAGACAAGCGCATTCGAAGTAAGTCATCTAAATAGAGGTTTCAATCCTCAATTTATCCTCATGGTACTTATATTTGTCGCTAATCTGCCAACTCAGCCTCACTGGACTCCTCAGCCATCTCTGTTACAGAAGATTCCTCGCCGACCAGACGCTTCACCTTCTCAAGAAAGTCATGAAGTGGTGGATATAGGAACGGTCATACTCCGGAAAGCAAACCTAGTTCTGGACCGTTTGATCAGTGCTGGTGAAAGGACTCGAGGTCTTAAAGTGGACAAACACATCACCTGGGGTAACATCAACTATGAACCTAGATTGACGGAACAACGCGAACAAATAGCAAGTAAGCGAAAATCATTGGTTGATTTACAACATGGCTGTTATGCTCAACACATTCGCTCAACAATGAATCCACTGCATGAAATTCAGAACATCCCGCTTTTGACGTGATAGGAAGGACTTTCCGATTTAGGGCTGTTTACAGATTAGCTAGCAAATCCGAGAAAGATCGCATGGACGAGATCTTAGGCAAGCAACCAGACGAGATCGTTCAGACCATCTCGAGAATTGATCGACTTTGTGACATCGTATTCCACGGAGATGCTAAAAACCCCGCTGTTGAGCAAAAGATTCTTCAAGAAACTCAATGGTTTCAGGAGAGGTTCGACGGCATATTCGATGCTGTCCACTCCGAGCAGATTGAGGAAATGATCCTGAAGGAAACAAATTCAAAAAGGATGATTCCGTCCATTACCATTCAAAACTTCCACGAGAAACTCGCTGCGATTAAGGAGTTGAACCAGAAAACTTCAATCTTAAAACTGCATCGAAAACTTGATCAAGCCATTGGAAGATATTACAATTCAGTCAGATACGACCAACCTATTAAACAGTGGGATCAAGATAAACAATCGATTGAGGAGTGGGATCAAAAAGCTTTGATTTCAAGCTTGTATCCAAAACTCGACGCATTATTTCGACAACTTGCTATCGAACGGGGGTATTACCTGGGACAATACCACCCACCGTCTGCAAAATGGGATCAAGAGACCTTGATTCTGAAGTTACCTGCAACACTTGAGGACGTTTATCGAGGACAGCATTCCGACCTCCAGTACTTCCCAGTGGGTTATGACCCATCGATCAAGAACTGGGACCAGGAGGCTTTAATAGCAAATTTTCACATAAAACTTGACGAAGCGCTTTCCAAACTTCGAATTAACGAGGAGCCCGATTCTGCCCAGAAATCTGACTGGAAACGAATTTTTGACTGTTTGGCATGGCTGATTTGATTTTTTTCTTTCATTTTTTTTCACAACTGCGGTCGATGATATACCCAAACAAACCACTAAATTACAAGCAGATTTTTAATTAAACATTGCCTCCCTGTATGCATGTCATCTTGAATTTGAGTCCCCGAGAAACCAGCCCACTTTTTACCAGTAAGAAAGGGAATATTGCTATATATGTATCTGGTTTTTACAGAGGGGAAGTTCCTCCAAACCTGTTCCACAAATTGTGGGGGAATTTGTAATGTGAGATGTGGTGAATTGAAGTATTTTGTACTGGCTTCCTCTGCTTCAAAAATGCCTTGATGATGGGCCCAAAACAGACATAGCTGTAAGATCCAATCTAGGTAAAGCACAATGCTACAACTTACACAATAAAAAAATATACGGATCCCACTATTTCTCACACACTCTTTTTTATTGGTTTCATGATTGTAATTTATTCTCCATTTAGTAAAGAGGAATGACCATCAATCAACCAAGAGAATGTTTATCAGTTGTATTTCCAAGAGTGTCTACAGCACAGAGGAGATGAGGGGAGGCACTAATGGAAAAAGGATCTACCTCACAAGAGTGGTACACCACGGGGCCAGTTTTTTGAAACTGGCCCCATCCGCTGGACGCTTTCCTGAAGAGAGTGTCCAACGGATGCAATTGTTGGAATTGGGTGTGCACAGTGGGTGCAGGTGTTGGAATTAGGTGTGCACAGTGGGTGCAGGTGCTGTCAATACTCCAGATCGGGAGTGTTGTGATCATGACATCATGATCAATCTGGCACGGTCAACAGGCTCTTTCCTCATCCCATCTTCTTTATCACAACTCGACATCACTCAACTACTCTTCATCAATCATCAAGTTCAGCATCGATCGAGTGTGAGGGATCATCTGCTAGGGATTTATAGCCTTGAGGTATTTTTATTATCATTTCTTATTGTTATCATTCATTAAGTTGTTGACCGCTCTAACTTTATGTTCTTAGCTTTTTTATCCTGAATTAATTGATAAGATACTCTTTAAGAGTCAATCGTGTACTTACTGTCAGCCTCTGGGTAACTAACCTGAGTATTTAATAGTAAAAAGGTTGTTACTATGAGTTGACTGAAGTTTTTGAGCGTGGTGAGTGTTAGATAGTGGGTGATTAATACCAGTCCTGTAAAGAGGAGGTTTCACTCTATCAGTATGGTCTTTACTGAGAGGCTTGCTATCAACAGCGCATCCGGATCAATACAAGGTATTAATAGGCATCCAGGGTACTAGGACTCACCTGGGATTGATTTGGTTATTCCCCAAAGGGAATGGGCTAACAATACTTATTAAGCTTTAACAAAATTAGTTGAAGATTAACAGGTATTGTTAATGGGAATATTCAGCAAGGCTATGAATACTGTGGATAAGTTGAGTAAGAGTACTGAAGCTTAAGAACAATAAAGGTAGACAAGATTTATGTTGGTTACGGGTACTGTATCAATATAAATGTTAACTGGTTTAACTGGTGTCTGAATATTCTGGGGATTAATCAGTGAAAGAGGCACGGATTATAAGTTCCAGAATATTGAAGGAGGGAAAGAATGAGCGCTCAGAATCAAGGGAGCTTTGGCCAGGAGAATGAGCACATCAATTGAGTGACTGATCATTATTTGTCATGATCTGTAAGTGACATCATAATTGTGTACTAGTTGATCAATGTACTAGTTGCTCTTGACGCGTGCACTTGACAGATCCTCTAATAATGTAGTCATAATTGTGATCAGTGCATGTATTGAATGTATTAATTCTATTGACACTTAATACTTACTATTTAGTACATGTACATATTTATTTGTAATAATATTTGACCGTGAAAATACTGTAGCAGAGGGATAACTTGTGGTACAGGTATTTCACGGACAAGGGAGTGAAAGGTAAGTGATAATTACTTATGTAGAACACAGGTATGTATTTAATAGATAAGTAATTAACAGATAAGATAACTGTAAGATAAATAAGATAAGTTAATAATAAAGATAAGATAACAAGAGGTAAAGGTAATCAACATTATGGATAAGTACTTATGTACATAAGTACAGGTGTTGCAGTTACTTGGTATATGAAAGGTACTGTGACATGTACTCTGTGGCTGACACTTCCTCCCTCTAAAAAAGGCTGATCCAAGAAATAAATTAATGTTATTTTCTTTTATCAGCTCTGTATTGTCTGAGAATTTTATCAGCATCAGGTATGTTATCAACTGTAAGCCATTCATCTTCTTTGGTACCACTGTATCTTACTAAATATTGTTTAATGTCTTCATTGTTTTTTCTGATTTTTCTATGTTGTAATATCTTCTTAATTTTAATTTCTTCTTTTTCTAAAGGAGGTATTACTACTCTGATGTTATCTTTTCTGAAAGGAAATTTATCATTATCACTAGTTTTGTATGGTTTAATTAGACTAACTGGGAATGTAGGGTGTTTTCTTTCTAATTCTCCAGTAAGTATAACTTCAACAGCATTTGCACCGTGTAATTGTTTGATTGTAAAAGGTCCTACAAATGAATCTCTTAATTTTTTAGGGCCAGTCAGGTTTGTAAAATTAAATGTAGATATCAAAACTTGGTCTCCAACTTTAAACTGGTGAGCTTTGTGAGTTTTATCCCATCTAGTTTTGTTGTAATCTACAGCTAATTTCACGCATTCTGCTGCATATTTTTCAGCTTTTGTCATCATAAAGTGAAAATCAGAGGCACTTGGGTGTATGTGTACTGTTTTTGACATTAAAATTTCTTTTGGAAACCAAGGAGTCCAACCTCTCTCTAATTCATAAGGTGTCTTATTTGTTGTACTGTGTTTGCTAGAATTGTAAGCATATTCAAGTGCAGGTAATAATGAACACCAATCATGAGTATAGTTGTCTTTATCCTTAAATGTCATACCATAGGCACAATATCTTCTGATCATGTCTTCCAAAGTTTGAATCATTCTTTCAGCTAGTCCATCTGTTTGGGGGTGGTAAGCTGTAGAAAATTTTAGTTGGGTCCCACATAAATCATATAAATTTCTCCAAAATTCTGACGTAAATTTAGGGTCTCTATCTGTAATGATATATCTGGGACAACCAACATCATAAATAATAGAATTCCAAAATAATAATGCAGTATCCATTGCTGTATCTTCTTTATGACACGGTAGAAATCTTGCTCTTTTGGAAAATCTATCAACTACTACTAAAATTGCATTGAAATTGTTAGGTCCTCCAGGTGGTAATCCAGTAACAAAATCCATGTTAATGACAGACCATCTTTCTTTGGGTTCTTCAATTTCTTGTAATAATCCATATCTTTTTCCTGTAGCTTTATTTGCTTTTTGACATCTGTCACAAGATTCACAATAATCTTTAGTATCATTCTTAAAATTAGGCCACCAAGCAATTTGTTTAACTCTCTCAATTGTTCTGTCAAAGGAAAAATGAGCTGAAGAGATATTGTCGTGACATTCTTTCAAAAATAAATTAATGTGTTCTTTTAGACAAATAACTACTACACTTGTATGTTTAATTCTGTGGTAAATTAATCCATCTAACAGAGAGAATCTATTTTCTTTAAATGAACTAAGCCATGGTTCTTCCAATGAATTTATCAGATCATTATTTTTGAAATTACTTTGTAAGATATTTTTAATTGTGGAGCAATTTTTATTTTGGTCATAACTAATTCTAATATCATCCCAAAATTCTTCTTGCATTTCAGTTACGTGTAACCCACAAATATTAATATCATCAGTGTTATCATCAAAGGCAGGATTATTTTCATTATTTTCCTCTGGGAATAAACTCATAATTTTTGCAGCAATTTCTCCGTCCCAGGCAGGGTTCTCTGGTATATTTTCCAATGACCATCTACTAAGTCCATCAGCATTTTTATGTATATTACCTTCTCTATGTTTAATAGTCATACTTCCTCTCCATTCTTGAATAGCTATTTGCCATCTGAGCATGTGTCTATTTGGAGTCTTCATACTTAATA